ATTTGAAAATTTTTACTTTAAGAAATGTCGTTGCCTTTGTATGGTTACAATTTTTGTCACGAGAAGCGCTATTGATTCAATGTACATTGTCAATGATTTGCTGGGTGCTACAGTGATCTTGACTTATTGGCCTGATTTATTCGCAAGGTCAATAAGACTTTCACTAAAAATCACTGAAAGATTTGCATTGACAATTCGTTTATACTGTTCACATATATCTTCTTTATATCTTTATCTGAATTAATCTATTAACACATTCAGTCGATAACATATTCAATTGATAATATCAATAGATAAAATAGTTTATGCACTGACCTACGATACAAAATCTTGCGGAATCGATAATACAGCAATATAAAAAACTATTTATTATACGCACTCGCATAGTATAATAAAAGAGATACTAGAGCTTATATCATATATAAACAAAGTGCATTACCAATTATGTTGTAACGGAGCGCATCCTTCCGCTCCATTCCTCTTCCGGATTTCCCCCGACCGACCATCCGTCGGGGACCGCCGAACATCAGGCGGAGTGCGGCAGTGGCCGCAAAGAGGCAGCAATGCCTCCTTTTTTAATACTTGTATACGCGAACTCCGAAAGCGTCGGAGAATACCACGAAAACACGTATGTTTTCGTGGTATTTCCCCGCACCGCGCCAAGCGTCGCGTCAACAAGCGCGAACGCACCCCGCACCGCGCCACGCACCGTACCACTGAGCGCGAACGCGTCCCGCGCCGCACCGACGCCGCGCCACGCAACCGAGCGAGCGTCCCGCACCGCGCCACGACCACGTCCACAAGCGCGCAACCACCCCGCACCGCGCCGCTACCTTCCTACCGAATTCCTTCCCTACCAAAAAACCAATCATCCCCCGATCCTTTTTTTTCCGCTCCTGGGGAGAGGGATGCTAACCCCGAGATCGACCAATCCGACCGATCCGACCGAAAATACCGAGGTCGATCTCGGATATAAAAAGGTAGGCTCTCCACAGGAACTCACTCCTCGTTTACTCCTGTTCCTAGCTCGTTTTCCGAGAGCCCGTCTCAAAGGAAGCGAGCATCCGTAACCAGTAGCAAGCCTGAGATTTGTTGGGATTCTCCCCAACGCGCCAAGTTCGCTTGGCCTGGCCGAAAGCCGTCTCCGTAGCTCGCACGGCAAGCCGAGAGTTGCTGGGGTCTCCCCAGCGCGTCGAGTTCACTCGACCAGACTCCGCCGTTCCCGAGATTTCACCGCCGAGTATCGGGGTTCTCCCCGATACGACCTCTCCGAGCACCAGGGTACACCCTGGTCGGCCGAGTACACTCGGCACCGCCACTTTCTTCTCCGTACACAGCCGGGGCCCTCCCCGGCTGGCCGAGTTCACTCGGCATTCCGACAGACAGACGAGGGGCGCACCCCCCGTCAGCCGAGCACTCTCGGCAGGGAACGGACACACCCGTTCTCCGATCTCAACGATCCGCCGACCTCGCGAAATATCCACCCTCGCGACAACACCCGCGACACGCGTGCACGATTAAATCCACGCCGATTTAAAGGCCCGCGACGAACACGTGCGACACCGCCGCCGCCGCGCGCGCCCTGCGCCACCGAACTGCGCGCCGCGATCAGTATCGCGCCGACCGCCCGAGCGATCTCTTATTTTGTATTCACGCATTATCCGCGCACCGATCGCCGTCTCGCCCGTCCACGGCCACGAACATTAAACGCGACGATTCGGTGCATTCCATCGCACCACTCTTAGTCAAATAAACATCGTTATTTATTATCATTCTCGCCTAACAATTTAATCACACCTTTCTGTCTCCAACGTCCTCGCTTCTCCTCCTGGTAACCGACTGACCGCTCTCCGCGCGGGAAAGCGAGACCGTTTTAATGTAAATAATAAAAAAATGCATGATATTATTACAAAATTATCTTTAAAAAAAAATAAAAGAAGGTGTCAAGTAAAGGGATATATGTGCTCTACGAGCGGAGATATTGCTACACAAAGTCCAATTTGTAAATTTTTACTTTAAGAAACGTCGTCATTATTATTTGTGTAAAAGATTTGGTATCAATAACTGTCGGCAAGTTATAGTCTAATAAACATTAAGCTACAAGTCCACTTTAGCCAAATTATATATTTCATTTATATAAAAGATTTGATATGTCACTATTTTTAAAAAACAAAATCCAATCGATAGTATCTTTAATTTAAAAATAATAAAAACCAAATGATATGTATATCTTTTTACCCATTCAAGACTCTTTCTTTTCTAACCCAAAGAGTAGTAATTATTAGCTTTAAAATATTATTATATCGCAAAATTGCTTTACTCAACCTCAGTTTTTATTACAAAGAATTAAAGAGTAACAGTATACAAAATAAATAAAATTTTACTAAAATTTTATTTAAAGGAAAAAAAGTTTTATGTAAAAACACTTGGCGTTGCTCGATCGAATAAGGAAAATAATGAAAATGTAAAACTAATGATGAAATTATCTGAATGTTGTAAATAAAGGCAAGATTTATTGTTTAATATGATAATTACAATTCACAATGAATGCAAGAAATTAAAATAATCGTATACTTAATTCTAATTCGTACCGTATAATTTGATAACATTTACAATTTGGACATGCTCGTCGATTTGTCGGGTTCGGAAATTAATAAAATTATTTGACTCAAAAGTTGAATAAATAAGTATTTATTTATTAGGTGTACAAAAAGTTCTGAGCTTTTTTTTGTAAAATTCAATCTTTATTCAAAAACAAACAAAAAAATATTAATCAGCGAAATATTCCCCATTTGCATCAACGACCTTTTGCCATATTTCGGGTAGCTTGCGAATTCCTTGACGATAGAAGCTCACCGGCTTCGAAGCGAGTCATTAATGCATTTTCGTATCTCTTCAAATCTCACGAAATGTGTATCAGCCAAATGATGCTGCAGCGACCGGAATAGGTGGTAATCGGAAGGCACCATGTCTGGGCACCATGTCTATACGCCGCGTGCGGGAGAAGTTTCCCAACCTAACGCAAAGATATGGTCCTGAGTTGCTTTCGCAACATGTGGTCGAGCATTGTCATGAAGCAAGATCACTTTACGACATCCAGTAAATGGCCTCTTTTCTTCTAATGCATCGCTCAAATTGGTCAATTGTTGTTGGTAGCGGTCTGCCGTAATTGTTTCACCCGGTTGTAACAACTCATAATATAACACACCTTTCCAATCCCACCAGATACAGAGCAAAACCTTCTTGGCGTGGATATTGGGCTTTGGCGTCGATGTCGAAGATTGACCAGGGACAACCCATGATTTTCTACGTTTAGGGTTATCATAAAGAATCCATTTTTCGCCTGTAATGATTTTGTGCAGAAAATCTTTTTTCCGGAACTTTGAAAGCAAAGTGCAGTGTCACGCTGACGATTTTTGTTGTCTTCGGACAATTCATGTGGAACCCATCTACCTTTCTTCTGAACTTTTCCCATCGTATGTAAACGTACGGAAATAGTTTGCTGCGTAACGCCAAGCTGTTCTGCAAGCTCCTTTTCAGTTTGCGCAGAGTTTATATCCAGCAGTGCTTGCAATTCGTCCGTTTCAATCTTTTGAGGGCGTCCAACATGCGGTTCATCTGCAAGACTGAAATCTTCTTGGCGAAATTTTTGATACCATCTTTTACATGTAGTATGACTTACAGCGTTCTTTCCATATGCAACACAAATCATTGCCAGTGGCTTCAGCAGCATTTTTCTTCAGATGAAACGCGAAGAATAGAAAATCAAATATGCTCTTTTGTTATTGCCATCGTGAACATTACTGATTTTTGAGGTTATGTGCATCAAACGCCAAACCGTATGGCATTTTAGAAAGCCAAATGTCAACGCTTTAAAACCGCAAAAGGGCGAGAAGATATATAAAATTTAAATTGTTATTTCGGTAGTATGAAATCTAAAGCTCAGAACTTTTTTGTACACCTA